TTATACCTCTTTTGATTTTTCCGCCTTTCAGTTAATTTTATTTGTAAAAAATGTATTAACTCACTTCAAAATATTTCCCTGATGATAGCTTTGCAATAGATTGCGATTTTCAGAAATCCGGTAACTTAATTTATTCACTGATAGTAAAGGGGTGTATATGTGAAACAACTATTGGCTTTGAATGTGGTAATAGAATCAATCAGATTAAAGAATCCAGTTATATAAGTTTAAGTTAATATTTACCATAGTCGATCTGTGTTCAGAAATAGCGCCCAAATTTTTGGAGCAAACAAAAATTCGGAAGGTTGGCAAAGCCGTTGAATTTGAATGCGTACTCAAAGCTCAGCCAATTGGTGAAATCAAGTGGACAAAGGGTGGTGTGGCCATCAACCCTGGAGGCCGATACACCATCAATGCTGTCTCTAATGGCAGCAACCACGTGCTCACTCTAAAAATTGCAGACGTCAACGCCAACGACGGTGGTGATTACCTTGTTAAGTCAAGTAATTCCAGTGGAGAAGCCTCAGCTAATATAAAACTCAATCTGGGTCACTCAAAGTAAGTTCTACTCTCAGTTACTTTGCTTGTTTCACTTTGAAAGCGACTTATACTATGTTTCAATTGAACGCATTTTATTAGGCAGCTCAAAGCTCCCAACTTCCCAGAGAAACCTATCATCAGAAAGGATGCAGGGACTGGAGAGATCGTTCTATGCTGTAAATTGGAAGGAAGTCCTAAACCGGATCTAACGTACTTTCTTAATGATAAACCCATCTCCCCTCAGCCAGGAAAGTTGACCTTTGTTTACAAGGAGGTCGGGTCCGACCTATATGATTGCGAAATTCGCATAGCCACTCCAACGCCAAATGACGGTGGAGCCTATAAAATCACGGCAACTAACTCAGTCGGTCAAAGCAATGCGTCAATCAACCTTAATCTCTCAAGTGCGAATTTCTAATTTTTAAAAGTTCCTGTTTTTTGTGTGAATACTTCTAATTGAAATTCATTTTTAAAACTATTAGATTTTATAAAATAAAAATGGGAGAAATAAACACGTTTAGTGATCCAGATGATAAATCATTGGGTTTGAATTTTGGAACATAAATTGCCTATGAAGTATGTATTGTACAAAAGGAATCAAATGAAGTATGCTTTTTTAGACATCTTTAATTTACTCAATATCTTTATCCTTATATCGTTTATTGCACTGAAGTCTAGTTAATTTCAATTTCTTTCAGAAAATGGAAAATTTTAAATGTATTTGACTTGCTGCGTGTTTGTATATAATATAACATAATTGCTATCTGTTGAATTATTTAGTCTGCAATTAACCTGTATTTAATTTACTCAGATAAGATCAATGATTCGATCCTTAGTATTTTTTATTGCATGCATTTTTCCAGTTGACCTAATTTGAAGGAAATCATTTATTTTGTCTATAGTTATCAGCAAAAGGTCACTTCGAGTTTCTTTTTTTGCATTCGATAGCAAAAGCATCGAAAGACGAGCCACCGCGATTTCAACCCTCTTCAATTCGTAAAGAAGGAAAAACAGTTGTTATTGAAGCTAAATGCACTGGTGTGCCAGCCCCTACATTCACGTGGACAAGGGGAACAATAGAGCTTAGTCCGCGTACCGGAAAATTTGAAATGACCAGCTCAACTGATGGCCCGGTTTTCATTCAAATTCTAAAAATTATTGTACGTCTTCATTATAAAATTTGAAAAAAAGTTCGAAAGATGTATCTTAAATTGATTATTTTATCAAAATTTATAGAACTTCACAGATGCAGATGCTGATTTATACACTTGCCACGCGAAAAACAAAACCGGAGAAGCCAAAGCTACTCACTCATTGAAAGTGTAAGTTCTAATATAAATATAGCCTATTATTGATCTTAATTCAGATGAATAAATTTCTTTTTGAGGTGAATATATGAATAAAATCCCGCTATTTTTTTAGTTGTAACAGAGTGCTCATTTTCCTCCTTCGGTACGAATTCTAAATATACCTCTCGTTTGTAAATTTATTTCCATTCTGTGCGACAGGTCTAAGTTCTTTGTGGTTCAAAAAAACAGTCTCGACGAAGCAAATGTGACGTCAAAGAGTTCCAGAGATTAAACATTGTCAATCGTACAAAATAAAATGAAAGTAACTCTAATATAAGGACAATAATTATAAATATAAATAAATAAATATTAATTATAAATATATTCATAAGTACTTAATTTGACTGAATACTCGTTATAAAAATGAATTTACGGTCACACCTCTATGGACAAAACCTCTGTTCCAGTTGTCGAACTTATTGCATCAGGAGCGATAGATGAGCCCGTTATCATGAAACTTTGACTTCATTTCAATGGAGTATTTGAATATTAAACTCTACTTTGATTCAATGATGCTGATGCTGGAAAGCGAAGTCCAGAAGGTGTCTCTCTCTCCCGCGTTTTTAACCCTTATTTCACTTGGTTTATAGGCCGAAGGTGCTGTCAGCTCCAACAGTCATCTATAAGTTGAATCAGGCAATAGTTGAGCTTATGTTGGAAGGTGACCAAGCACCCACAATTACTTGGAGAAAGAATGGTAAAATTATCACTCTTGAGAGTCGCTTCAAACAGGATATCAAAATCGAGGGTGGAAAAGTGATTATCACCCTCGCGGTCAGCAATGTAAGTTAGAGCTTAGCTTTTAAACCAAAAATTATGCTGTATATTTGCATTCACCTTTCATTTCCTAAATATGTCAGAGTACCCGTGCAAAATAGCTGGTTTCCATATATTTGTTCAATTTTAGCTGACAGAAGCTGACAATGGATCATACGAATGCGAAATAACCAGCCCCTACGGGTCCACAAAAGCAGATTTCTTAATTAAGTCAGGTTTGTCATATATTCGAGCCAATTTTAGATTTCGTAAGTAAAGGTCAGATCATTTATTTCTTTTTCTTAGTAGGAGGTAAACAAGATGGTAGAGAAGATGAGTTGCCGAAGTTAGCCTCTAAGCCGTGTGATGCGTCGGAAGAAGTTGGTAAGTTTCATTTACCCTCATGAAACCTATCTCACGTTCATGAGAAACATTCATGCGTTTTGACCTGACTTTCTCTAAGGTGGTACTTATTCAATGAAGATAAGTTACATCGGATCTACAGCTCCGGATGTTAAAATACTACGCCGAGGTTTGGATGTATCAACGGATTCCAGAGCCTTGGTAAAAGTCGATCCTACAACAAAATCCATCAGCTTCATTATTCGTAGCCTCAAACCAGGCGATGCTGGGTCTTATACTGTTCAGTTATCTTCACGTGGAGAGCAATGTGATAGCGCAACTTTCCAACTTAATATTCAGGAAAAGTGAGACCATTTCAGCATTATCGAATATAGTTTTAATTAGACTTAGATCTTAAAGAGTATGTATTTTTGTGCCACGATAAATGCAGAAGTAGAGAAAGTGCGCAAATTATCACATTCACATTGATATGCACACGAAGTGAAATCGATTGGTGCACAGCGGGCACCAATTCACCAATCATATGGGGGGAATTATCGTACGCGTGCCGTTCCCCTTGCCGTGTTAAGGTCATTACCAAAGCCCACACACTTCCATCCTAACAGTCATCTAGAAAATAAGTAAGAGGTGGAAAGTAAAGAGTTATTTCGCCCAATATGAACTTTCGACGTTCTGCTAGTCCAATTCCAGCTTGGAGGTTTGGAAGAGCAAATTTGTAGAGATAGACCCTTAGAGTGCGTATTTTTGCATGAACATAGACCGGTTTGATTGATTAGAAGAGTGAGTATTTTAATCCCTCACTCAACAATTTGTTTTGTAGACATCACCGCAGTAAAACCCACGATGACACATATTATCATGCACCACGCATTCATCCTCAACACTCTCCACTCAATCATGTCCTTGCGGCTGGTTGAGACACTTCGAATACCTGGCAATTACTGACATTACACCGCCGTCAACAATAACAACGGGGCTATCATACTCACAGTCTTCACAGAACATTTTATTTTGAATAATAAGGTGTTCTGGGATGGGATTTAAAAAGATCAGAGGCCTAGCATCTGACAACTTGTACAAGAACAAAAATATACGACCATCAAAACTTCTGTCTTTTTCTTCGCGCATCATTATCCTGCCCTTTCTTTCACAATTCAATAAATCTATCACGTTCCGCATCGCTTTTGCTTACATTTTGCCTAATAATAATTTGAATTCTCTGTAAAGATCTAGGTGCATGCGAAAGGTTTGCATGCTGATGAGACAATTAGGTGCAAAGGGGAGCTAATAATTCTGAGTTTATTTTATTAAAGCAGAATGGATAATACAGGAGCAAACGACGCGACCCCAGAGCTATTAACTACACCAAAAACAGGTAGTCGGCGGCCCTCGGATGTAAGTTCAATTCTCCACTCCTGTAAACGTGTACACGAAACAATCCTGACTTTAATTCTCCCTTCAAACAAATTAGACCCGGGGCACATCGCCTAAGCCGAGCCTTCTTGACCCAAAACTCTTGGAGCAGCAGTTGCAAGCAAGACGTGATTCTGCGAGCAGTAGGCGAACTTCGCTGGCTGATGCAATTCCGGGCTTCCCCATGCTCAAACATCGAGCAGCTCCAAAAGTTGTAAGTTAATTTACTTCAAGTCAAGTCATTCAGCTCAAAAGTGAGAAACTGGAATTTTCGCTCTTTTTCCTCCTTTTCAACTTGAATTTAAATTTATAATTTTGCTTTTCTTCAAATCAACCACTCAATCATTTGATTAGAGATTAGTTGCATTTCTATATATATCGTAAATAATTATAATTTTAATTTGAAATATAAAAACATATTTAATTTGTTTGACGCTGCAGTTTTAAAAAAAAATTTTAGTTTGATTTATTATTGAGTCATTTCTAAAATTTTATTTCTATCTATATGGTGTCATGAAGATATAATATAAATCAATAGCATGAATGTCTTATAGCCAAATCTGCAGGATTCATCTTAAACAAATTCATCTCTCATTTTTGAGAGATGAGTAGTGCGGGTGCTTCCCACATTTACCTACTACACCAACTGTTTCAGTGAATGGAATTAATTGCCTCTATCGCTCCAATAATATAATCAGTGCTGAACGTGTATATATATTTTTACTTTGCAGGAGAAAGAAAAGTTTACTGAGGAATTGAAAGATGTAAAGGCGAAAGAAGGTCAACCAAAAGCCGCAATGAAGTGTACTTTCGTTAAAGCAAACGCCCGTTTCCGGTGGTACAAGAATAAGCTCGAAATCTTTCAGGGTCCAAAATACAACTTTCTCCAGTACGCCAGTTCCCCCCCCCCCTTGCTTCTATTTTAATTCTACCCTTCTCGCTTTATCGTTGTTTTTTACCTAAATAGAGAGGGTAATGAATATGCCCTTGAGATTAAAAATATCGCCATGGAGGACGCAGCCAAGTATGCATGCAAATGCAATGACATTTTAACCGTCGCAACCCTTTATGTGGAAGAGCGAAAGTACAATTATTATTTCAATCAGAAGCTACCCAAAACTGCGGAGGTTGTACGAGGCAAAGACCTCACTCTCGAGTGCTCTGTCTCCGATCCCCGGGCCCCTGTTTCGTGGTATCACAAAGGCAACAAACTTGAGGTGAGTCTAGCTTCACAGTTGGAGGAAAAAATACATACTGATGGATTAGTTGGTGGGATGCTTTGATCGGTGGATCAAGTGGGTTAAATGTGAAGAGGTTAAGCCAACGAACGTATGTCTTGCATCCATTAGTGAATGGCCTCATTTTATTAGGCCGATCGTGTTTCTTTCTCTACCCCCCCCCCTTACCCCCACCTACCTTTACGGTCAAAAGTGCGAATCCTCGTTTTGAAAGAACGAACTTGTGAACATATTTGCCAGAAAAATGTACTTTTAATGGCAGATGATATTTGATATCTAATAATGCCAAATATTCTCCTTTCATTTTTCTCAAACATGGGCTTTTATTAATATTGATTTGTAGTACGTGGCTGGAAAGATTGAACTTAAACGGCGAGAGAATCGGTGTATCCTTAAAATCTGTCGAGCAAAGCCGGAAGCTGAAGGTGAATACTGCTGCATGGTTGAAGGTGATGAGACCTTCGTAGACGTCGCTGTTGAAGATCCTGATTGGTACTTTAACCGTGAATTGAAGCAGCAGACTGCCCTTGAAACTGATAAACTGGCAACTTTCGAGTGCGAAGTCTCGGACCGTGACGCTGAGGTTCAGTGGTTCAAAAATGACGAGGTAAGTTTATTTGTTTTACTTTACAGAACTATCAGAGAACTATTGGCTCAATCTTCGATTCGCGTTGTAGCCGATAACTGCTGGTGATAAGTACGAGATTGTTTCGGAATCCCGACTCAAACGAATCCTCAGAATCAAGGATATTACAATGGAGGACGATGCAACTTACACGTGTAAGGTAGCAAAAAAAACCACGTCAGCACGTCTTGTTGTCAAACGTAAGTCATACTATCAGTAATTAGTACAACCTACTTAAACTAATTTTGTCTTATTTTGATTGCCATAGCGGATGTTGAATTCAAGCAAAATCTCATTGACACGAATGGAATAGAAACAAAGAGCAAGGAGTTAGTGTGCAAAGCATACAACCCTAAGAAGTACCCTGTAACTTGGTATAAGGATGGTGTAGAGATAACTTTCAATGACAGAATTTCGACCAAAGAAGCCGAGGGGTCGCTTTTCCTCATCATTAAAGCTCTGGAGATGGAGGATGAGGGCGTTTACTCCTGTCGTATTGGAGCCCATGAAACCAAGGGCAAGCTCGGGGTGGGCCAATTTTTCACAAAGATATATTTTATTTTGTCTCTCTTGATTTACTTTCTTATATTTCTTAGGTTACCGAGTGTGAGAAACCTCCAACAGTCGATCTCGCCAATTTCGATGACTATATAAAATTGAAGAAAGGTGCACAATTCGCTTCAGCTATACCGTTCAAAGGTAGGTTGTAAAGTCTCTTACCTTAATTTCCATATTTAAACCAACAATATTTACCTTGCATTAGCAATTATGCTACCTTTCGACCACCTGGCAGATATATTGCACGTAAATCGCATTGATAATATGTCAAAGTAATAATATCAGGTAGGTAGATTCTCAAATGCTAATGAATTTAACTTAAGGGTAGATAGCGTAATTTGTTTCGGGATGGGGAGGCATTCTCGCAAGTAGTTTTCCAACCATTTATCATTGAAACTTCATCTTTCCTGACTGGCATCTAGTTATTTAGGTTGTACAAGTGTAATTAACCGATCTTGCACAAGAAAAACATAAGTTTGCTTAACTAATAAATTATAACTTAATGATAATAAACTTATAATATTTGCAAATCCCGAGTATTATTTCTACTGAGAACAAACATGTTTCTCTATCAGGTTTCCCTGTACCAAATATGGTAATTTTACGCAATGGACAACCCCTTCCAGAGAAGGTAAATCTCAAGGCAGTTGTTAAAAATGGAATGGTGAATGTAACTATGGATGATGCCCAAAGAGCTGACGTTGGTGACTATACCATTAAATTATCCAACAGTATGGGTGACGTTGAAATTCCCTTTAAAATCGATGTCTACGGTAAGTCTACATACCTCATACATAGACCATTTGTTCAAATAATAAATGAATAATTTGTCAACTTGTAATGCGTTGAATAGACCGTCCTAAACCACCTAAACCTCCGTTGGATGTATGCGACCTTTGCGCTACTAAATGCACCCTCGTTTGGGATCCTCCTGAAGATGACGGCGGTCGTCCGATCACCCATTACGAAGTAGAGGTTAAAGATGTAACTGCGGGTGAGGACTGGAAACCCGTCAAGAACGTAAAGGAATGCACATGTGATATTCCCCTCAAGGAAGGCAATAAATACAAATTCCGTGTACGAGCAGTTAACGACCAGGGACCATCCGATTATATCGAAACAGATAAAGAGACATTGGCACGAGATATCTGCGATCCTCCCGACCCCCCAGCTAATCTCGAAATTGTGGACTATGATGAGAAGCGCATTGACTTAAAATGGGTCAAACCTAGAAAAGAGAATGGAGCTCCGGTGAAGAATTATATTATTGAAGGTAGAAAACATCCAGATGGATCTTGGGTCACTATGAAGGAGACACCGGACACAAAAGCATCTATTCCATGGAAAGAAGGAGAGACATATCAATTCAGAGTTACTGCAGTCAACAAAGCTGGCAAATCGGAACCTTGTACTGCAACCGCACCAACTATTGCTAAGCCCCGTCTGCGTAAGCTTTATTCACCTGTAATAACTTAGATATTAATATATCAATTCATCTAATGCGTAACTTACGTGACCCTCTACATAGGCCAAACAAGAGAGAAAACTCATGGATGCGTATTGTTAATAAATAAGTGTTTTTTCGTAAGATTACCTCTGTCTGAATCACGTGATTGGTATAGGCTTAATGACTGTGAGCTTTTAATCAGAACTTGCCTACCTCAGAAGATCGAGAAACAGTTTCCTTCATTTTTTGAATTTTGTAAAAGGCTGTCCAAGATGTAGTTCCTTTTCAATCTTATTGTCGTAGTCTTATTTGTTCATGTTCAAAAGTATTTCCGAGCTCCCATTTATTTATAGGTTAATAACAAGTTGACAAAAATAATATGGCAAATAAAAATTTACTTTGTTTATTCTATCTACTTTAAGTGAAACCTTGGATCGACAAATCGAACATCCAGATCGTCAAATTGAAATGTGGCCAGCCTTTTGAGTTGAATTTGCGATACAGAGCCGAGCCTGACCCCGAAGTCAAGTGGTTTTCTGGCGAAACGGTAAGAAATGCACCATTACATGTAAACAAGATAGCCTTAAACAAAGAATAATTTTATATCCCTAAGTTCAGTAAATTAATGGTATTTTACTCCCAAATGTAAAGGCGCTCGAATCAAACAGCGAGTATCAATTGATCTTTAATCATCGTGACACTGGTGTCAAGGTGGTAGATGCTCAGAGAAAGCACACTCAACTTTACAAATTGGTCGTTTCCAATGAGGTCGGCTCTGACGAGGCTACAATTGAGGTCGTGGTGCTTGGCAAGCCCAGTCGACCTGTCGGTCCATTGGAAGTTTCGGACATCACCAAAAACTCGTGTGTTCTCAATTGGAAACCACCTGAAGATGATGGCGGTGAGCCTATTCAGTATTACCTAGTCGAGAAACTGGACAAGGAAAAGGGAAAATGGGAAAAGGTCGCAGAAGTCTCTCGTGGAACTACCTGCAATGTTCCAAAATTAACAGAGGGTAATAGATACATGTTTCGTGTCAGTGCAGTATCCAAGCTGGGTGAAAGCGAACCCCTAGAAACTGATTCCGATATAGTCGCCAAAAATCCATACGATGAACCTGAAGCTCCAGGTAAACCAGAGATTGTGGATCATGATAAAGACCGTATTGATATTAAATGGGAGCCGCCGGAGTTCGATGGAGGAGCTCCAATTACTGGCTATCATGTTGAGAGGAAAGAACCCAAGTCGAATCGTTGGAGCAAAATCACTCTCAAGCCTGTTCCAGTGCCAGAGTTCACGGACGGTACCGTAACACAGGGAAAGGATTATCAATACCGAGTCATTGCTATAAACAAGGCTGGACCCAGCCCTCCTAGTGAACCTAGTGACGTCGTCACAGCCAAACCTAGTCGAGGTGAGTTTAACCTAAATACTAAATATATTAAAACTAATAGCGCTTTGTGAGCAACTTTCTTATCTTAGCACGCTCATGAGAGGATAGCCAACGACTTACTAACCTTTACCATTCTTGTCTGTGGGGCAATTATTCTATCCCGTTTCTAGATGATAGTTGGTTCAAAATGATTGTGAGTAATGCGGTGCAAAACAAATTTAAAACGAGGCTCTATTGATTTCACTTGTCGATTTGGCATTATTGTTCTTTTGCATGCATTGTGTCGTCAATAAAGCTGCCACACAGTTGCTTTTCCCAACTATATCTATCCATACCTTATTAAGTTGCTAGCAATTACACGAACATTTGGCTACAAATTCAGCTTGGCTTATAAATAAGTGGCCGCCTATCCGACACATTATTTCAGCTGAAGATAAATGAAGCAAGTTCTTACTTATCCGATGATTTAATGGAGGTATTTATTTAAACTTCTTGTTCTAACATTTTGATGTACTTGTCTTTGTTTATTTGTCACTAGTCATAGATCTTTTAAAAGGGATAAGTTGCTTATAAAATGGTGGGGAAATGTTGTTAATTTGCATAAATCAGATTAAAATACTGGTCACGATTTTAATGCCTAAATACCAAGCAGATTTGCTTTGTATACATGTTCTTTGAAATCAAAGCTTTTAGAAGGAACTAACTTGAGAACAGAATAATGCATTCAAGCTTAATCTAGTCTAGAAATGTCTATTGAACTATTGCCAGAAGTTTGTTTTTTACATAAGTATGTCAATTTTTCAGAGGCGCCAAAGTTAGACAAAAATCGCCTTCGTGATTTGCTTGGACCTCGCAACGAGATTCGATTGCGTGCTGGTGAACCGTTGAGTATTCCAATTCCAATCACAGGCGCACCCAAACCCACTGTGTCCTGGACCAAAGATGGTGGCATAGTACCCCAAACAGCCAAAATCACTGATACTGAGGAACTCGCAGGAATTGATATTCCATCTACAGTCCGTGGTGATAGTGGCAAATATAAGATACACCTCACCAACGATTACGGTGAAGATGAAGCTGAAATCAGTGTTGTTGTCATGGGTAGGTTTGCTTTATAAATTAAGACTCTTCTACACGGTTGTAATATTGAGAAGTCTAGTTTCTGCAACTTTAATCCATGTGCACACTAGACACCGAGTAGATAAGGCTCACTCAAACCCAATAGCAGAGATAGGACAGAACTGCGGCAGATACCGCAGGAATGAATACAGGTCAACTCCATGCTGTTGAGGTTTGGAGATAAAATGCCACTAGACCTTTAACAGCTTTGTCGATATAACTATCAGGCTGTCAGGATCAGCAAGTATATACGAATTAGTATTGCCGATGGATGACTTATTTGTGAAAAAACAATATTTCCAAGACCTTGACCATTGTTTATCAGCCTCTCAGCATTCGCAGTGAGCCCGGGGCGCTTTACGTCATTACAACTTGCATATCTTTCAGTATAAAGTGACTGTAAATAAAATAAAGGAGGAGGACATTTATCTAAATGATGGTATTCAAGTACTTTAGTACACGAGTCTTACTCCGGATTTTAGGTAGGCAGAATAACTGGGCTAAATGGTCACCTAACGGCAAACTATTAATTGGCCTTCTTTCTTTTCAGACAAACCTAAACCACCTCGTGACTTGGAAGTATCGGACGTTTTCGCTGAACACTGTATGTTGAAATGGAAGGCACCCGAAGATGATGGCGGTACTCCAATAACAGGTATTCATCATTATTATAATATAACTAACATTAATTTCCAAAAAAGTCTAATTCATTATCTCCTTTTCTAATCACAAGATTACATTGTTGAAAAATGCAATGAGTCAACAGGTATTTGGGAACCAGTCACTGGAATCATCAAAGACAATCAAGTTCACGTGAGGAATCTTCAGCCTAAACAGCTCTACAACTTCCGTGTCAAGGCAGTAAATATGATAGGCGAATCTGCCCCAGTTCAGACTAAAAATGCAATCCTTGCTAAGAATCCTTACGACCCTCCGTCGGCGCCACAAGAATTTGAAATCGTAAGCTACGACAAGCGGTCAGTCACTTTTGAGTGGAAAACACCTAAGAGCGATGGTGGCAATCCTATTAAAGGTGTGTTTTAGCTACTTCGTGAAATTTAAGATGAAGTACGAAGCTCTAATAACATGTGTGCTTTAATAGGCTATCAACTAGAAAAACGTCTTCTTCCAAGAGGAGACTGGAAGCAAGCTACAACTAACCTTATTCCGGGACTTAAAACAACCATCTCTAATGTTGACGAGGGTATGACCTACGAGTTCAGAGTATGTGCTGTCAATGACGGTGGCCCGGGAGACTATGCCCAACTCGATAAGCCGCATACCGTAAAGGACATGATCTGTAAGCCTTCTTGTTCATTTTAAAAAAAGAAGGAGAATGGAAAGTGATTTTATTTGAAATAATTTTATTTTAGTCCCTCCCGGAAGCCCAGGCGAGTTAAATGTGGACTCTGTGAACAAGAACGGCGCTAAGTTAAGTTGGAAACCGCCGAAATCCGACGGCGGTGCTCCTGTTACAGGTTACGTAGTAGAGAAGCAAGATGAGAATGGTGACTGGGTTCCAGTTATGGAAACGAAGGAACCTTCAGCTTTTGTACCAATGAAGGAAGGTGAGACAGCTCCATTTCGAGTTCGAGCAGTTAATAAGGAGGGTGCTGGTGAACCTACTCGTCCAACTGCACCCCTTACTGCGGAAAATAAGCCCACTGCTCCGCATATTGCTACACCTAATGACGGAGTTAACAGCGGTCCTGGTACAGGAGTGGGTGGACTACAAGATATAACCTTAAAGGTAGGCTCATGATCGTTTCATATGTCAAATTATTAAATATTAAGTGTCATTTATAATTGTGTTCTTCTGATTCAGGCTGGTCAAGAGTTACGTTTGCCAGTGGCCTGGTTTGGCTATCCCAGACCATCGGCTAATTGGTCAATAAATGACAAACCAGTCAAAGCTGGTGACAATAATGCTGAATTGACCGAAGAGGACCCTCCTAAGCCATCCACACATTCGCCCACAGCAGAACTTGAGCAAGAACCTGGGGGAACATTCGTCCTTCGGGTTGCTAAAGCTAAACGCGCCAACAGCGGCCATTATCAAATTAAGATAGTCAATGATCAGGGACAAGCTTCGTCTTCTTGTCAAGTAACAGTCATTGGTAAATTTCTTTACCTCTCTCTCTCTCTTATCATTTAAAATAAGAGGAAGAGATTTGAAGTATGCATGTTATTTTTACAGATGTTCCAGGAGCACCAACTGGTCCACTGGACGCAATCGATGTGAAGGCAGATGAAATCACTCTTCAGTGGAAACCCCCGGTGGACGATGGAGGCGAACCTGTTACCAATTTCATCCTTGAAAAACGTCTTAAGGGATCGGAAGGGTATATGCGCTTAAATTAATCTCCTGCTTATAATGGTGAACAATGTCACCCTGAGGTGATATGTTTAATTTTAGTTGGCAGACGGTGAGCGCTTTCCTGAAGTCTCCCACTGCAACTGTTCGGGGTCTGGACGTTGGAAAGGAGTACGAATTCCGTGTCAAGGCGGAGAATATTATGGGCGTTAGTGAACCTCTTCAAACCACTTCAGCAATCAAAGCCAAGCATCCCTATGGTAAATGCCTTTTCCCTTTGGCGTATGATCATCACCTTAAAGTGAACTTTAAGCTCATGTTAACCTTATCGTGACATTTTTAAACGCCAGTTCAAACGGCGTGAAAAGTAGTTGAGGACACATGGGTGATGGTTCATGGAATAAATTATTTTCTTTACCTGCCTTATTTTTGCCAAAACTGTACTAATTGGCCAAGGGAATCCTTGCTAACGTAGAAAACTGATTTTATTAGAAAAGTGTGGCTGTTATCGAAAAATTTTATTTAGCGTTTCACTATATTGTTTGCTGTATGATAATTTGGTGATTTAATATGTGCATGAAGAAGGTTTTTAAGCTCTAGGAAATCTCCACAATACGGAATATCAAAACTAGGCTCCATTAATAGACCTTTTGGCAAGAAATGCAATGCCTATTTCAAAGATAAGGTGTTTTAACGCTTATATTCTTCATTTAGAGGATAAATTTTTATGCATCTACCTCCGGGTACGGCGAAAAGATGGAGAAGAACGTTTAATATAATTTATTTTTATAAAATGGCAGGTGTTTTGATAGTTATCATTAGCCCTTTAGCCGACTTCAAGCTCCACAGAGGGGAAGGAACATCAAAGTGAAAAAAATCGAGAGGGAGGGGGGGGGGGGAATAGAAGAG